GTCGAGCACGTACCCAGACCTAGCTGACGTGGCCTAAGATTGCGCGTCACCATGGTGACCCGTGCTGCGCCGTCGGCGTCGGCCTACGTGGCATAAGGCTAGTTGTCGGAAACTAGCTGTTATCTCCTCGTTCTTTGGAGGAGCCTGGTATGGCTTGCTCCAAAACCCGTTATCGACGTCGTCCCAGACGTCGCGTCATGCATACATGCTGGTGGACCGCAGGCCCTTATTTATGTACGCGTACTGGAATCGGCGCAAGTCGACGTGCTCACAACCACCGGCTGTGTCGCGGACTTCGCACTCCGGTGACAGCTTCTTATGGCACACTGCACTGGCCTCGGGACCCCCCATCAGATTGAACTAATGGACCCGAAGTTTTTGACACGTGCATGCGGAACGGCCGCGCCTGAGCTGGGCCGTTTTCGCACCTCTGCGTGCGGGGTACAGTCAACCTGCTGTATTTAGGATTCTCCGTGCGCCAGTAGTGGTGGTCTCGAATCACCGCGCTACCGCCGAGCTGGCGCTTAGGTCCGAAGTACAGGTACGCACTAGTACTTGAGCCCTATTTGGTTCCGGGGCTGCCGACAGTTTCCTGGCTCAGCCACCCTATCACACGCTTTTCGTGCGTGTACTACGGTGTAGTTCCATCTTCCTGCTGGCGCACGTGCTTTTTAGGCCGCGTGCGCGTGCAGAAATCATATGTAGAGACTACATGCACTAACTCCGTCCCGTACAGACTAGACTGTGTCCTACAAGTCTGGCCTGATCGTAACTTGTTGAATACCATTACACTCTCTACCCGCCTCTCTAGATCTCTGCTGTGTTATTATCACTGTCACCCATATATGCATTCGAATATTATGCAGCTGCCCAAAGGATTCCCGCCTCAACCCCTGATGTCCCTGCATGCTAATTTCCACAAGACCACGGAAGTAAAAACTTCCTTGTCTTTTAGCACACCCACAGAACACGAGCAGTTTGATTTTTGTGCCATCTGGCCACGGTTCAGGATTGAGATTATGAATATGAGGGTGAATAATGAAATCAGTCCTCCATCATCCTTTCCTCTGCCGCCTTCAAATCTTCCTCGACCAGGGCTTCAGCCTTGGCCGTCGCCAGTTCCGCCTCTCTCCGTCTCAATTGTTCCTCGCGCTCCGCCGCGACAGCAGGAGGAGGCGGCTTTGGGGCCGCCTCTCCCGCTGCGGCCACGGTAGCCTTCGTGTGCCGGTCTTTGGCAGGGTGGTGAACCGGTTTGGCCGGCGGCCGTCCCGGCGTTGTCGCCGCCAACACCGAGCGTGGACGCTCGACGCTGTTGTTCCGACTGGTCCTGGGGACCCCCTCTTCCCCACGGCATGGCGGTTTGGGAGAGGGCCCCGGGGACCGTGCACCATCCCTCTGCCGGTAATTCACGGGGCCTGGCGATGAACTGCGAGACGGTTCGACTGCCGCGTTGAGTGACCTAATGGCCGAATGCAGCTGCGTCAGCCCTTGCTGCAAGCGACGGATCACCCTCGCTGAATTAAATTGCCGCATGGCCTCCAGGGCGGCGGCCGACTGTGCGAGCGCCTCGTGCAGCTCACGCAAATTGTCTGTAGGCGGGTTGTTCCGTTTGGGTGGCATCTACAACAACCAGGTCAAACAGAGAACACAGACGTTGGGATCCTGGTCACAGCACCAAATGTCGCATCCCTGCGAGGTTCGTTGCCTGTCATGATCGCTCATAACCCAACCAAATCCAACCGCCAGGCGGTCGACCAATATAGTCGACGACCCAACTTAGTGTTCTGCTCACCTTGGTTAACACACGAAGAGAAGACAACCAGTAGAGGGTCTGAGAGACTCAGTGTATTTCTCAAGTTCGGGAGAGAGTTAATTGTGATTGTTATGAGGTGACAAATGTTCTTTTATGCACCAAAGAGACGAGATGGAGAAGTTCGTGCAAAGCACGGTGCGTGATAGTTCTGAGAAATCGGCAAACAATACAGGTTTGACAACGCATGCATGGCAAGGAAACAGCAAAAGATCAATAGTTCAATAACGAAAACGACAATGAATAATTAGCACAAACGGAGCGAAAAGCCGGATCGGGACGTAGGGAGCCCGCTCACCTACGTCTCCGCGGAAATCTTGGAATTATATGGATCACGTCGGGGGAGCCCGCTCACCCGACGTGATAGAACAGCGTAACTCCGGCGGGATGTTGTTGCATATCCGCGTCCCTTTTCCGGGAACTTCACCGGCGGGCCCTTCGCGGGTCACCGCGGCGTCGCTGTACCGCGCTTGCCACGCCTTCCTTTTGCGCCTTCATTTTGCGCGCGGTTCCCCGCTCTTTTGCGCACGCCTCTCGTTCTTCTGCACTCAGCTCTCATTCTTCTGCACTCAGCTCTCATTCTTTTGCGCACGGCCCTTCGTGTCTTGCACGAAGCGCGAAAGGGATCATGGAAATCAATAGGACTTCTCAGTCACATGATCTTGCATGAAGCCTAGAGCGTACATTTCCAGGAAGTCAAGAACTTCCTGGAACATACCTAGAACATTCCACGCGAGAACCTACCTGACCAGGTTCCGGCGGTGAATCATACGATGTGTCATGTCCAAGAGACATGACACCACCGTGGGATATCACACCTAAACAGCATGACACCTACGCGGAACAGCGCGTGCCGCTCAACCTACATGCTCAACACGTGGGACAAGACACTGGCCAAACCACGTGATAGGATAGATTGTGACAGCTCAATCACAGAGCTGCACACTACACAGATCCTGCTGTCACAAGATCTGTCAAACCGCGAGGGTCACGTCCAGGACGTGACATTAGCATAAAATCCTCAGAACTCCTGATGATGATGGAGCTCCGAATCTACCTATCGAATGACAATTACACACTGCTCCGTACAGCTGGAGTCAGTGGTTTCATCCACCATGATGGCGAACTAACTTTCACCGATACTGAGTGCACGTCCACGGAGGATCTGGATTGCCATCACCTTCAACATTTCGTTCTGCATATCGGCACTCGTGTATTTTCCCTTCTTCTTCTCTAGCCACTTCTGTAGCGACAGTTGTAATTCGCTGAAGACGGTCAGGAGCTGGTGGAAATTGCTACCATGTACCATGTAAACGCCCGTCGCAAGAGAAGCACGCAAATCTGCAAATGCACTGGATGTGCACCCACAGATTTTCTCTTATAGCAACGATAGCGAACAAGATCTGAATGAGACAGATCAAGACTTACGCCAGATAACTGGTGGAAATTGCTATCTACTGGCACACTGCAATGACTTGCTGAGGTCTACTTCACTATCTACTTCACCTCCATCTTAAGATGCTCCTCGGAGATGCAGCCCTTGTCGAGCAAGAAACTTGATGTTTCGAAGAATGAGGAGGAAAGTCTCTCGATTCTCTTTACGGTCAGACAAAAACTGTGAGTTGAGAAGTTCACCAACGTGACCAGTTGTCTCAGGAGTTGTCTCCAACTTTTCAACAGCTTCCTTGTGACAGTCGCTGGAATGATATTTCGAGAATCCTCCCGGACCATACTTCCAGTTTTGAAGGCCAGTTGAAATAAACGAAGCGTCGGTCTTCGTATTGAAGAGGAGCTTTCCTCGAGCTGCCTTTACTCACGTGAAGCAAAATACTCGTTTACGCTTCATATCCCAATGCAACCAGGGATAATTGTCATACCAAGATGGCAAGAATGCACGGAACACAACTTGGCTAACCCCGAAGGTCTCGCTTTGGCTAGTAATGTGACCTGATTTGGAAAAGAGCATGTCCTATTTCGGGGTAACCATGGTAACCATCCATCTCTTCGAGTCAGAACAATAAACTGCCACCACGGTACATGATTACCGAGATTTGCCACCTCTGTCCATGCTCTGGTGCAAAGGTTCACGCAATGCACCGTACATTTTTTTATGCATGCATGAGATACCCCATACCTTTTCAGGCCTGCAAAAAGCGTAGAACAGATTTTTAGAATTTCGATTTGGAAAATTATTGCTGCGGCTTTGGCCACACCAGCCGAACCGGTTTCGACGCCCCTGATGTTGACCACCCAGGCTAAGTACCCAGACTGACCACTCAGATTAACTCAGACTAAGCCAGCCTAAGCACTCAAACTAAGCACCCAGACTCCAAAACCACGTGATATGAGTTTTTGCAATTGCATGAACCCATAGAAAGGGTATGAAGAGTTGCACACTCTTGGTAGCTTAGTTACCCTTGATCATACTGTACACTCTAGTACTATGATCATACTGTACACTCTAGTACTATGATCATACTGTACACTCTAGTACTATGATCATACTGTACACTCTAGTACTATGATCATACTGTACACTCTAGTACTATGATCATACTGTACACTCTAGTACTATGATCATACTGTACACTCTAGTACTATGATCATACTGTACACTCTAGTACTATGATCATACTGTACACTCTAGTACTATGATCATACTATACACTCTAGTACTATGATCATACTGTACACTCTAGTACTATGATCATACTGTACACTCTAGTACTATGATCATACTGTACACTCTAGTTCTATGATCATACTGTACACTCTAGTACTATGATCATACTGTACACTCTAGTACTATGATCATACTGTACACTCTAGTACTATGATCATACTGTACACTCTAGTACTATGATCATACTGTACACTCTAGTACTATGATCATACTGTACACTCTAGTACTATGATCATACTGTACACTCTAGTACTATGATCATACTGTACACTCTAGTACTATGATCATACTGTACACTCTAGTACTATGATCATACTGTACACTCTAGTACTATGATCATACTGTACACTCTAGTACTATGATCATACTGTACACTCTAGTACTATGATCATACTGTACACTCTAGTACTATGTGAACAATGGAAGACTGCTATCTGTACTGAACTTCCAGTCAACATTGTGTAATTAAACAGAAGTGGAACCACACTAATCAATCAAGTATCTTACCTGCAGTCTCTTATTGTCCCTGTCAACCACCACAAGATCACCATCGTCATCCACAGCTACATCAGTGGGGGTGTTGAATTCAGTATTACCACTGCCCTGTTTGCCTATATCACGTATGTATGTACCATCCAGTGTGGTGACCTACAGGTACATACATGTACATCACAACACAATACACCAACAGAAAAGAACAGCATGGACAAAACTTCATTTTAACATTTCAAACGTTTCCCAGTACAGAATGATACAGTATGTCTGCATCATACATAAGCTCAGTTACTCATGCAAGAATTGCACGAATTAGAAAAGATGTGGGCTTTGCGCAGGAAAGCTTAGTTGCCCACGCACATGGGTATTATAGGCACAGTGCTGGTGCTGTGAGTATATGTCATATTGCTGTCCCTGCACAGTTTACAAGTTGGCCAATTTTAACTTTTTTAAATTTTGAAATCGTGCTACAAAGTGTGAAATGGAGTCGCCATGACAAATACTGATATTAAAGAACTAAAGACTACAATATTAATGACGGGAAGTGCCAGCTTCGGCAACAACTAGAGAGGCAGAAGAAGAGACAGGTGCATGCACAGCGAAAACAGAGCAGTTACCATGCAGGCACATAGCACTTGCTCAGAGCAAAGCAAAGCTAAGGCGGCAGCGGATTAATGCCATGACAACCGAATAATTATGGTTCGCTGCTTTTCTCAGCAATGAGGGATGCAATACGCTTGTAAAGCGAGGCAGATTGCTTGCCCATGCCACCGGTTGTCGAGAAAAGCAAAGTTGGCCAATTTTTACGGGCATTTTTATGATTTCAATTCGACAGATTTGTCTTGAATTTCTCGAAACCTGTCTGGACATGGCGGAGCTGTCCTAAATTTTAGTTTCTTTCTGGATTTGCTGAAATTATGTATTACTTTTCCCCACCATTCCACCGTCTCTATTTTGTTTGTCTCTGCTCTTTCCTTCATTTGCAACCTTGTTTTCTTCCGGAATGGAGGTGGGGATGCAAGCGGGCATCAGGATTGTCGTAGGTGTGTGGTGTGACTCCTCATGCCAGGTAGTTATGTCAGCCCTAGGTGGGAGAATTCTTGGCCCCGTTGGTCGTTCGTTTGCACACGCTGGGCGGTACGAGATTGGCGCCTAGGGCCCGTATGCTTTAGCCCTTGGTGGGAAGGTCGTGGGTGTCAGCAGCTATTCCTTGGCTCTCAATAGTCCGTACAGGCATTACACATCAGCCGTTGGTGGGCGGTACATGATCGTCTCACAGCAAGCAGTATGCTTCAGCGCTTGGTGGGTGTATGTGCTACACCTGGGGGGGGGGGGGGGGCAGTATACTTCATCCCTCAATGGGATGTATGTGATAGCTCTTGGTGAGCTGGTTGCTTCAGCCCTCAATGGAATGTACTTCCTCCACATCATTAAAATTGTTGATTCCCAGAGCGATTTTTCAAATTTATTTTGTCCGCTCAACGTGAAAAGAAATCAGCTAGAAATTGAGGCAGAGCATTGTCGACAGACCAAGCTTTAGTTTTGGCCTCCCGTTTTTGCTGCACTTGCAGCTAAGGTCGATGTCTTCATCAGAGTTGGAGGCAGACCCTTCAGTACTAAGCGATACGCTGAACAAGGCGCACGTTCAAATTCAGGTCATGAAACTTCGTTTTCAAGCCATCCATGACTCCAGGTGGCAGGCGATGACATGAAAACTATAATTTTTCGAGTACACTGACATGACCTTCCAGCGGGATTGGGTAAGCAGTTCCGCACCTTCTTTTCTTGGCAAGCGCTTCGCTGATTTTGTTGATGTTTTCAGGCATGCTACCCTCACAGCATCATGCGGCACACGTCGTGTTCTTTTTACGAAATTGAGAACAATTTGTTCTTGCCATCGTCAACTTCAGCATTTCGAATTCAGGAGAGATACCCGGATTCTTATACCCGAGCTTGCAGTCTTGATAAATGCCCACGCAAACTATGTCGAAGGGCAAGAACTCCAGAAAAACGATACGTGCTCTGGGGCAGAATAGTGCGGAGCGCGATGAATATATTTTGTGTGGAAGAGGGCTTGGACAACGTCCGAGACCACCATGGCATCAGTAACAACTTGCCATTGCTCGGAAAGGGTGGCTCTAATGTTCGAACACAGAAAACAGCGATTCCAAAAGTTCGACTTTAGCCCTCAATGGGGCGTACATGTTAGCCCCCGTAAGCAGTTTGCTTCAGGCCTCGGTGGGGTGTATGTGTTAGCTCCTGGTGGGCAGTTTGCTTCAGGCCTCGGTGTGGTGAATGTTTTACCTCTAGGTGGGCAGTTTGCTTCAGCCCTCGGTAGCGTGAATGTTTTAGCTCAAGGTGGGCAGTTTGCTTCAGCCCTCGATGGGGTATACGTATTCGTATCCGGTGTGCAGGTGGCTTCAGCTGTCGGTGGGCAGGTTGTTGGCCTCAAAGGCCGTCCATGCACCCTTGGTGGGCAGATTGCTGGCAGCGTCGGCCATTTGTGCACCCTTGGTGAGCAGTAAGCTAGCAGCCCGGTGCTGACAGGATCATTATTTTAGTGCTTGGTGGGCTGCCTGTCGGCCTCTATGGCCGCTCGTGTGATTGGACCATGGTGGACAGCCGTGGGCCAGCCCTTTGGGGCCATTTGTGTGTCGGCTCTCGGTATGCTGTGGGCGGTGGGAATCACTGAAGATCATAATAATTATGTGATGATATCATGGTGCAACGGTTATCGATTGCTTCCTTAGAGCCAGTCTATAATCAAATACTATTATGTCAAACGTATTATACTGCTAACCGCTTTTCCGTTCACAACTTCCCCTCGAACTTGTGAACTGCATTCAGCATATTCTTCTAATATCCTTATCCAAAAGGAAGTGATCGCAACCCCTAACACAACGTGTCAATTGCTTGTGACTACACATGCGTTGGAACATTTTTGTATGCCCAGGTGTGCGCGCGGGAGCGTGTGTATATTGCCAGTCGAATAGGTGTGTCATGCATTAGAAGATATAACACATCCCGCAAACTAGCTTACTTCCCCATGTATCGGGGCAAGATCACATCGCCTGGTAGGTTCTTCGCGCCGGAGTGAGCTACCAAGATGCCTTTCTAAAGAAACGTGACAAAGACTCGGCAGTCTAGTTCCTTCTCCATGACATTTGGGTGGCTGAATAGTAAAGTTGTGTTTGGCAGAGACAAATGTTCATTCCTATCGTTTCAACTGTATTTTCATTTCTCTTCGTTCTCATAAAGGTCTGCTCTCTGCCAATGAGGAGTAGTTGCATAGCTGGAGATGATTTGCTACAGTCCGACTTTACATAATCTATAACTACTTCATTAGTGCAGTGAACGAGGATACATAGCTTTGCCTCATCATGGTACCAGGTGGTGAAAACAATTGGCAAGGCATACGGCGCATGCCACATGATGTCTCTCTTTCTACTTCTTCACTAGTCCACGTGCCATTGATACACCAGACAGACGTTCCTGTAGACTCCCCAGACACGAGAACCACTTGCATCTATATATTATTATAGTTGTAGATTTGGTAATGGAGGACAGTCGGAATGCAGGAAGAATGATTTACCATTCCAGTACTGCAGCAGATGCTGCCACCACCTGATATCTTCCATAGCATTAGAGTTAAGAGCTACAGTACAACCTGTATTTGCCCAACCTTGTCTGAAACAGAATCTTGTATTGACTTGATGTTTCTGCACCAAAGTACTGTGGATCAAACGTGCATCCCTGGATCAAGCGGAATTCTGATATATCATGATGGTTTTCGCTGCAGCAAGGGTGTCCGGTTAGGTCAGATTTTACTGTATCTTGTTGAGAGGCTTTTGATACCTGCTGCAACAAGACCAGAGACATTGTGGAAACTTACGGCCCCCGGGACAACCCAACGTGCTGCAGAGGAGAGCTTCACCATAAGGGACTCGAGGCTGTGCTGAGAAAAAGAGTCGCACTGGATGGTGGCAGTAATGTTGAGATCCGAAGTAAATCAGTGTGCTGAATGGTACCATATACCAGCCATAGGCATACCGTCATTGAAACTATTCCCAAGTGGCCTGGACATGAGGTGAATCACGTGCATCTTTCCATTCTTCTTTGGCACTGCACCAATGCCTGAACATTACAATGCATAAAAATAATAGGGGTGAAGTAAGGAAGACTTAGTCTCCCCTGTGATTACATGAGGTAGTAAAATGGTCAGATATAGCTAAGCGTGTGTGGCAGCAGAATAGAGATTCAGAGAAGTGACATTTGCTGGAAAGGTAAATTAGAAGCTGACAATAAACCCATGATTCAAGCCATGCAGAATAATTCATGAAAATATGAGTCTAAGTCGATACATAGGAAGGACAAAAACGGGCAACATTCAAAAGTGAGCGAAAAGTGGAAGTGTGCAAGGTTACTTCTGAGGGTAAACAAAGGAGTTAGTGATCTTACTGGGAAGTGTTAAAGGCTTTTGTACCAGTCTTGGAGCACAGTTATCGAGAGTGGTTATAGTGGAAGCGGCAGGACTTATACTGGGGCCAAAGTTGTAGTTCTGGCAGATAATTTGGGCGCAATCCGAGTGTGTGAGCATGACTCCATACTAATACTGTTAAGGGCGTTGGCTGGGATGAAAAGGAAGCTGACCTGATGGAGGGTGTATAGTATGAACTACTGGACATGCTGGACTAGCTATGAACTACTGGACATGTTGGTCTAGCTTTGAACTACTGGACATGTTGGTCTAGCTTTGAACTACTGGACATGTTGGACTAGCTTTGAACTACTGGACATGTTGGTCCAGCTATGAACTACTGGACATGTTGGTCTAGCTTTGAACTACTGGACATGTTGGTCTAGCTTTGAACTACTGGACATGTTGGTCTAGCTTTGAACTACTGGACATGTTGGTCTAGCTTTGAACGGATGGACATGTTGGTCTTGCTTTGAACTACTGGACATGTTGGTCTTGCTTTGAACATGACAAATAGCTGCCATACATGTTTTAGCAATACTTTCAAGGCTTTGCCGCTTTGCTGGAGCGATGTTGACGTCCAAAGCGAAGATGACGTCCAGCTACTGGTCATAACTGGTTGTAACTGAGTCATGCAGTGGCGAGATCCGAACCGAAAGCTTTCAATATAATTGAT